CTCCTCACCAGAATCAAAGAGACAGATAGAAATAGAAAGAGGTGACTGGATTTCTGGAGCAGGGCACCAATCAAGGGTGGGATTTCTGGAGCAGGGCACCAATCAAGGGTGGGATTTCTGGAGCAGGGCACCAATCAAGGGCAGGATTTCTGGAGCAGGGCACCAATCAAGGGCAGGATTTCTGGAGCAGGGCACCAATCAAGGGCAGGATTTCTGGAGCAGGGCACCAATCAAGTGCGGGATTTCTGGAGTCTCTGTGGAAGTTGGGGCTGAGAAGATCAAGATGAAAATTCCTGGAGTAGTTGGGGCTTGACGATTGACGCGTATGTCCAATGGAGAGAAGACAGAGAGTACGTCTTGTGTTTTTTGATGAGGAGTCGCACCCTACACATCAAGATGGGATACGCTGCGAGCGCATTTGTCCCCATGTTACTGCAGTGTTCCAACTGCAAAGCATGTGTCAAGTGTTTGCAAAAAGTATGACTTGAGTGATTGTTTTGCTGCGGAAGATGACTTTGAATGTCGCAAATTGCAGTGGGAAGAATGCACAGGTTCCCCCGAAAGCCATTTAAGGGTGAAAGAGGCAGAGATTGCTAGGATAAGAACTGTTGGGGCATGTCTCCTATGCCGAGGCAGAGAGGAAATGTTAAAGAATGTTCAAGTGGTTCTGTTGCCGTGGAGACACCGCATTTCAGTGCTGTGGGTGCCGTTTGCGAGGTGACGGATCCAGATCAGAACATGTCATGAAGTATATATATATTTTTTTTTTTTTTGGGGGGGGGGCATTTATTGCTATGGTGATAAACTGCACTGCATGAGTGGATAAGAACTCAAGAAAGATCGATATCATCATATCTGCAGCTGTACACTAATAAAGGATGAAGAGCTACATGGTGTACTGACTGGAGCCGCAGTTTAGATTTTGAAGAACTGTTTTTTTTTGTTGTTGTTTTTTTTTTGTATTTTATTTTCGGACGTTTGAGTGGATTATTTTATTGGGTATTTTATTTCCCTTTTTAAGTGATTTATTTCCCTCATCCAGTAGTGGGCAGTAATACGTTTCAATGGATTTGAATGGAGAAATCTGATCTGAGAGCAGCGCTGCTTTTCTTTAGATCCTATCAGTGTAGCCTAGCATGGGCGCAATGATGTGCCAAATCAGTGATTTTAGTGCATTTTTATTGGGTAAGCATTAGAATAAGCCATCTCAAAATTCAACCGTCTTAGGCGCTAATATCTCTCTAGGAGCTGATCTTTTCGTCAGCATTCTGAAATAATTATAATGTTGAGGTCGAGATTTGAATGGAGAAATCTGATCCGAGAGCAGCGCTGGCGTTCCTTTCGATCCTATCGGTATCGACGTGTTCCGACGCACGTAGCGACCGATCTCTCTCTCTCTGCGTGGTGTTCTGGGAAAGGCATGGGATAACAAACTGACGTTGTTTAGCTAGTCATGTTACCTAGCAACCTGATAACTTCAGGAACAGGAATAGGCTACATTTAAAAAATGAAGGGTTCAACAAGGGTTCTTCTAAGATCCTCAAAGTTCTTTGAAGAACCTTAGGATTCTTGCCACTGAAAATTGCACCCCCCAAAAGGTTCTTCCAAGAACCCCATAGGAGGTGGGGTTCATCGAGGAACCTCCTTAGTTGGTGGGGGTTCTTGCAGGAACCTAACTGCCCAACTGAAACATTTGAATTTGAATTTGAAAGGACAGCAGGTGCAGGCACTTAACTGAAAAAATGTAAAGATCTCCTCAATTTAAGGTAAGGTTGGTCCCTTGTATGATCTAAATGGATATTGTTTTATGAGGATACCATCTGTCTTTTTCATATTTGTGCAAAACAGAAAATGGATACAATTCAATGGATATCAATCGAGGTAAGAATATGTATGCTATGAGAATATGTTGAAGGCTAGCTGTTTTGGGTGCAGATGACTGAACTGCTCACTTTAGTGTCTGCAGGTTTACAGACGAGGAGGCATACAAAGGTATGTCAATTGGTATTAGTATGTTATGCAGATCACATGTACCATCCTCCTTCCTTACCTCTTCAATTAATATCCCATAGGCCTCTACATTATGGACAAGGTATGTGTATGATAACCATTATCAAAATGAGTTTTTTTCATTCACATTTACCACAAAAACCAAGGTATGAATACTGTCGTGTGCATGATTTCTTAATCATCTGTACAATAAAAAAAAATGTTGGATTCACAGACTTCAACCTCCCTACACCTCTGATGAATATAACAGGAAACCTGTTCGATCACCATGCACTGCAAAATCATTCTGGCTATGGATTAACATCAACATGCCAGAGGATACGGAGAACATCAACACATTAACATCAACATGCCAGAGGATATATCCACTGGACTTGGGGCTCTGCTGGGAGTTTACCTCATATTTGGATTTTTATATTCTGCTTTGCCACTCAAATCATAATAAACACTGACCACTAAAATATTGTTGTTATTGTTGTTATTGTTAGTGTATTTACTACTAATAATAAGTAGTTCAAAAATTAACCCCAAAAGGTTCTTCAAAAGGTTATTCGAGGATCAATTAAAAGGGGTTCTTTGAAGAACTTATAGGGGTTCCTCCACAGTTTCAATTTGAAGAACCCCTAAAGGATCCTCCAGGAAGCTTTTACTTTTTAGAAGGTCCTCAAAGAGATGATTCAAAGGTAGGCTGTGTATGATTGAGTGTGGGAGAGTGTAGAGGCCTATGTGTGTAAAGTTATCTGAACAGTACAGAGGGTTACAGTGTTCTCGGAACATTGTTGGGCACGTTTAAAATCTCTTTGTTCTTTGTATCCATAGAGACAGTTATTTTTTTTCTCATAGTCACACTCATTTAGAATGACTGAAGCTTTAACAGTACTTCAATCTGTGTGTGTGCGGGCGCGCTCAAGTGTTAAACTTCAAGAACGTTGATAAGAAGGAGTAGTCCTACTGAAACATTGGGAGCATTATGTTAGTGACTTTTGGGGTTGTTTATGGTGAAAATGAAAATGCCATTAAAACAATGGAAAAATCTTTATTTAGGGCCAAATTTGAGCGAATTACATTTTTGGTTAATCGCGATTAACTAATGCCATTAACTCGATTTAATGATTTGAGTCGTTTGACAGCCCTAGTGTTTATGTTTGCGGTGGTCGTCTAGTGAATTCACTATGACCATGTCCAGAGTGGAACCAACTTGGGAGTAACACAACAATGGTTGTGTCCATTTGTCATGTTTTTCTTAACAATAATACCAAACATATTTGCTGTCTTGATAACAATGATTTCAATGCCCGGTGCCCCGATTTTGTTCAAAACGTGATAAAAATTCAAACAGTCCCAGAAATTTATTTTTGACATTTTATTTATTAATACATTTTATATTTCGACATTCCTCAACCCTTTAAAGTAAGCTTTTCAATACTGGGAAAACAATGAATGAATTAATATAGACATTAAGAAAGTAAAATACTTAATATAATGTATAATGCACTATTCTACAGGTATAATAAGGAGTTTCTAAACTTTGTCTCCATCTAGTGGTAGAACAGTTGTACTACAACCTGACGAACTTTTATTCAAGATCTATTAACCAACAATAACTGACTTTACATTAGTTTAGATAAGGGTATTGATGAAACAGTCGGGACACAAACTGGGGGCCGTTATCTGACATGATTGTCCTGGGAAGGCCCCTCATTATCCGTCATGATTGCCCTGGGAAGGCCCCAGCAGAAGCATAACTCAAGATTTGCTTTTAGCTTACAGTAAGTTCTATCAAACTACAATACTGACTTTACGTAAGGATTATGCTAACTTTCTTTGACACAAACTCCCGAGATACAGCAAGAGATGATATTTACTGATATGTTAACAATTCAATTCTGTTCCCCTGTGACAGAAGGGGTATCAGTTTACGGGCCTTTCCCAACAATGCAGAGAGAAAAATATAAAAATGATAACACAAGGAATAAATACACAATGAGTAACGGTAACTTGGCTGTATACACGGGGTACCAGTACCAAGTCGATGTGCAGGGGTACGAGGTAATCGAGTTGAATATGTACATATACAGTGCCGTGAAAAAGTATTTGCCCCCTTTCTAATTTTCTCGACTTTTGCATATTTTTTTATACTGAATGTTTATACAGATCTTCAACTGAAACCTAATATTAGATAAAGGGAACGTGAGTTTACAAATAACAACAATTACGTACTTATTTCATTAACAAAGTTATGCAACACCCAATGCCCCCTGTGTGAAAAAGTAATTGCCCACTTACACTCTAACTGGTTGTGCCATATTTAGCTGCAATGACTCCAACCAAACGCTTCCTGTAGTTGTTGATCAGTCTCTCACGTCGCTGTGGAGGAATTTTGGTCCCATTCTTCCATGCAGAACTGCTGTAACTCAGCGACATTTGTGGGTTTTCAAGCATGAACTGCTCTTTTCAAGTCCTGCCACATCTCAATTTGGATTAGGTCGGGACTTTGACTAGGCCATTCGAAAACGTCAAATTTTGTTGCTTTTTAGCCATTTTCATGTAGACTTGATTTTGTGTTTTGGATCATTGTCTTGCTGCATGACCCATCTGCGCTTCAGCTCACAGACGGATTGCCTGACATTCTCTGATACAGAGCAGAATTCATGGTTCCTTCTATTAAGGCAAGTCGTCCAGGTCCTGAGGCAGCAAAGCATCCCCAAACCATCACACCACCATCACCATGCTTGACTGTTGGTATGAGATTCTTAATGTGGAATGCAGTGTTTGGTTTTCGATAGGCATAATGGGACCCACGTTGTCCAAAAAGCTATACTTTTGAATCATCGGTCCATAGAACATTCTTCCAAGAGTCTTGATCATCCAGGTGCTTCCAGGTGCTTTTTGGCCAATCTTGAGTCAACATTTTGGATGACCTGGGTCCCATTATGCCTGGCGAAAACCAAACACTGTCTCACTGGGATCCTCTGGGCTTTCTGTCTCACTGTGACCCTCTGGGCTTTCTGTCTCACTGTGACCCTCTGGGCTTTCTGTCTCACTGGTATCCTCTGGGCTTTCTGTCTCACTGGGATCCTCTGGGCTTTCTGTCTCACTGGGATCCTCTGGGCTTTCTGTCTCACTGTGAACCTCTGGGCTTTCTGTCTCACTGTGAACCTCTGGGCTTTCTGTCTCACTGTGAACCTCTGGGCTTTCTGTCTCACTGTGACCCTCTGGGCTTTCTGTCTCACTGGGATCCTCTGGGCTTTCTGTCTCACTGGGACCCTCTGGGCTTTCTTTCTCACTGGGCTTTCTGTCTCACTGGGACCCTCTGGGCTTTCTGTCTCACTGGGACCCTCTGGGCTTTCTGTCTCACTGGGACCCTCTGGGCTTTCTGTCTCACTGGGAGGTCAGCGCCTGGATCTGATGGGGAGGCTATTCCATATTCTCCCTCTGACCAGACTCTTTCACTACACCCACTCTCGATACTGGACTGTCCCCAAACTCAGCGTCCCAGCTGGGTGTCCCGGAGTTAAAGCACTAAGAGCCCAGGACCAATGGATAGTCATCAAACCTCGCTGGGCTGTCAGAAGGCTGCTGTCTCTCATCTCCGCATCGCGCACTGGTCAGATGGTCAGACAGGATGTAACATGGGTGAGAGGTGTTGGGGTCCAGAATCACAGGAGCTGAACAGAGAGAACACAGAAACATTAGAAAGTGATTGAGGGGAGACTAGTTCATTATGAATCACATTGAAATGCATTTCAAACTACGATCCTACATAACATCTTTCAGATTTTATACATTAGGTTTGTCTTTTTTGCGATCATAAAATCATACTGACAGTATTGAACAGACTCTGAACTGCAGGTTGCCCAGGTGATTGGCCACGTCTATCAACGCTCCTGAGACTAGCTGTGGATCTGGGAGTGTTCACTGGGCTCTGCAGAACATTCAGGAGTCCCGTTCTGCTGTGGGGTTAGGTTCAGAACTACAGAGAAGAGAGAGAGAGGAGGCAGATCTCTTACCGTTCCATGGTGGCCTTGTAGTTCTGTAAAAGAAAGGACCAGGCTATCAACAAATATTTGTACATTTTTCATCACGACATGTCTCGTAAACAATCTTTTGCTGAGGAGAGAGTTCCTACCTGCAGGAATGAAATGTCTTCAGCTCCTTGATCCTCCTCTATGGCTCTGATTGTGTCTGAAAGGGATGATAATCTCTCTGCTAATGTCTTCAATCTTCATCTGACTCTTCTGCTCCTCTTCCTCCCTCAGTGCAGCTATCCTGGCCTCCTCTTCCTCCCTCAGTGCAGCTGTCCTGGCCTCCTCTTCCTCCCTCAGTGCAGCTGTCCTGGCCTCCTCTTCCTCTTATAGAAACTGGTGAAACTTCTCAATCTTCTCCTTAATCTGCTTCTCTGAGTGCTGGGCCTGGCTCTGGAGACAGTGAGAGAGATAAAGATATTACTATGAAACTGTAAATGAGTCGATTAGAGTGCTGGGCCTGGCTCTGGAGACAGTGAGAGAGATAAAGATATTACTATGAAACTGTAAATGAGTCGATTAGAGTAGACTACAGCTTGTGCCATAAAGGTCCAGACCTCAGAGACTGGTTTGTACTGAAATAAATACAGAGCAAACTGTTATTTTACCTTGATATGTTGATTTAACTTGGTTAAAGACCTTCGGATTCTCCTGTAAGGACTCCAGTCCAGTCTTCACTTTCTCCTGTAAGGACTCCAGTCCAGTCTTCACTTTCTCCTGGAATTAAACAACATTGTCTGTGTATGAATTGCAAATTCAACACACAACAAATGAATACTGTAATGGGAAATTTTAAATTGTATGTGTCCACATAACTGAGTATGTGACTAACCTTGTGAAACTGTCCTATTATAACCTCCTGTTCTTCTGAGTATAATTCTGTGTTCCAAACCAGCTTGCTCCTGTGTCCTCTTAGAGATAAAAGAAGAACTGAAAGTCCCGCCCAAGAACAGCAAACTAGAAAGACACGTGCTTATCACCCAATGCTCTGTCTCGGTTCCCTCTGAGCTCAGAAATAAAGCATCTTAGTTTGACTTGGACCAAACCAAATCCTTATTTTATAATATCCACCACAATACACTGGTTGCTGTGGTCACTGCAGTCCACTACGCCGTTCTCAAGACTGGTTGCTATAGTCACTGCAGTTAACTACGCCAGCGACCAAAAATTTTTTATACTATATCGAATGTGTTATATTACATTACCTTGTGATCCAGAACAGCTTCATCTATGGGGGCAGCACCTGTGGTTGGTGTGTCGTTTGGAAGTCTGACACGCCACACAGGCAGGCTGTTTATCCTCCAGACAGAAGTGCTTGAGTTTCTCTCCATGCAGACTGCAGAACGTCTCAGAAGCTCTCTGTCTTTCTAGCTGTGACTGTGAGAAGGCCTCGCACAGGTTCCTCAAGGCCAGGTGAAGGGGAGGATGATTTCAGGATCTCTTTCTGTGAAGTGGACATTCCCAGAAATCCTTTAGACTCCAGTATTCCTGCAGACAGGCGTTTCCAGAAGACAGACGGGCTTTCCAGAACATTCCCAGAAATCCTTTAGACTCCAGTATTCCTGCAGACAGGCGTTTCCAGAAGACAGACGGGCTTTCCAGAACATTCCCAGAAATCCTTTAGACTCCAGTTTTCCTGCAGACAGGCGTTTCCAGGAGCTGTGGCTACACCTTGAAGACAAACAGCACAGGAGAGATCCTCCTCTGGGAGAAACGATATGGAAGCCATTTTTGGGATGGCTCCGGAACGGCTTCTGAGGAGAAAGGTAATGTAACATCTAATCAAAGTCACAGGATCTAGGCCCATTTAAGGGAAAAAGTCTGAGACAGATATAAAAAGCAAGAAAAAGTTTATTAAACAAATCAGGTTTAGCTTTGCTTGTTGTTGGAGACTGAATAACCGTAGCGGGTGATGTTGGACGGAGTCAGACGCAGGAGAGAAAATCACGGAATAAATGGTTTAATCAATAAACAGAGGTACGCAGAAATGCGTAATATACACTAGTGTGGACAAACGGCTCACTGGGGAAGACAGGGCACACGGGTGAATATCCCGGCGATACACAATAGAATCCAGCTCCACCGAGCTATAGTCACCTCTACAATAAACAATCACACACAAAGACAAGGGGGGCAGAGGGAACACTTATACAGGTACTGATGAGGGGATATGAACCAGGTGTGTGCAATAAACAAGACAAGACAAATGGAACGATGAGATGAGGAGCGGCAGTGGCTAGAAGGCCGGTGACGACAAACGCCGAAGCCTGCCCGAAAAAGGAGAGGAGGCAGCTTCAGAGGAGAGGAGGCAGCTTCAGAGGAGAGGAGGAAGCTTCAGAGGAGAGGAGGCAGCTTCAGAGGAGAGGAGGCAGCTTCAGAGGAGAGGAGGCAGCTTCGGAGGAGAGGAGGCAGCTTCGGAGGAGAGGAGGCAGCTTCGGAGGAGACGAGGCAGCTTCGGAGGAGAGGAGGCAGCTTCGGAGGAGAGGAGGCAGCTTCGGAGGAGAGGAGGCAGCTTCGGAGGAGAGGAGGCAGCTTCAGAGGAGAGGAGGCAGCTTCAGAGGAGAGGAGGCAGCTTCAGAGGAGACGAGGCAGCTTCAGAGGAGAGGAGGCAGCTTCAGAGGAGACGAGGCAGCTTCAGAGGAGAGGAGGCAGCTTCAGAGGAGAGGAGGCAGCTTCAGAGGAGACGAGGCAGCTTCGGAGGAGAGGAGGCAGCTTCGGAGGAGAGGAGGCAGCTTCGGAGGAGAGGAGGCAGCTTCGGAGGAGAGGAGGCAGCTTCGGAGGAGAGGAGGCAGCTTCAGAGGAGAGGAGGCAGCTTCAGAGGAGAGGAGGCAGCTTCAGAGGAGACGAGGCAGCTTCAGAGGAGAGGAGGCAGCTTCAGAGGAGACGAGGCAGCTTCAGAGGAAGTCGTGACAGTAACACATTAACAAGCATCCATGAAATGGCTTCTTAGATAGCTTTCTGAAATAACTGTCAAATAACTGCCAACATAATAGTATAAAATATTTGGAGTAAATGAGGGATACAAAGTATATTGAAAGCAGGTGCTCCAACACAGGTGTGTTTCCTGAGTTAATTAAGCAGTTAACGTCCCATCATGCTTAGGGTCATGTATAAAAATGCTGGGCAGGCCATTATTGTGGCCATTATTTTAGCTACCATGGCTGTGCCCCCATAGGATTAGAATGCCCCCATCCACAGGGTACAAGTGGTCCAAATCAAATTGAATTGGTCGCATACACATATTTAGTAGATGTTATTGTGGGTGTAGTGAAATGCTTGTGTTCCCAGCTCCGACAGTGCAGTAATATCTAACAATACACAACATCAATCTAAAAAGTAAAAGAATGGAATTAAGAAATATTAGGACGAGCAATGTTGGAGTCCGGAGTGTGTATAAAAATAAATTGTTATGTTATATTATATATGTATATACAGTGGGGGAAAAAAGTATTTAGTCAGCCACCAATTGTGCAAGTTCTCCCACTTAAAAATATGAGAGAGGCCTATAATTTTAATCATAGGTACACGTCAACTATGACAGACAAATTTAGATTTTTTTTCTCCAGAAAATCACATTGTAGGATTTTTTATGAATTTATTTGCAAATTATGGTGGAAAATAAGTATTTGGTCACCTACAAACAAGCAAGATTTCTGGCTCTCACAGACCTGTAACTTCTTCTTTAAGAGGCTCCTCTGGCCTCCACTCGTTACCTGTATTAATGGCACCTGTTTGAACTTGTTATCAGTATGAAAGACACCTGTCCACAACCTCAAACAGTCACACTCCAAACTCCACTATGGCCAAGACCAAAGAGCTGTCAAAGGACACCAGAAACAAAATTGTAGACCTGCACCAGGCTGGGAAGACTGAATCTGCAATAGGTAAGCAGCTTGGTTTTAAGAAATCAACTGTGGGAGCAATTATTAGGAAATGGAAGACATACAAGACCACTGATAATCTCCCTCGATCTGGGGCTCCACGCAAGATCTCACCCCGTGGGGTCAAAATGATCACAAGAACGGTGAGCAAAAATCCCAGAACCACACAGGGGGACCTAGTGAATGACCTGCAGATACCTGGGACCAAAGTAACAAAGCCTACCATCAGTAACACACTACGCCGCCAGGGACTCAAATCCTGCAGTGCCAGACGTGTCCCCCTGCTTAAGCCAGTACATGTCCAGGCCCGTCTGAAGTTTGCTAGAGTGCATTTGGATGATCCAGAAGAGGATTGGGAGAATGTCATATGGTCAGATGAAACCAAAATATAACTTTTTGGTAAAAACTCAACTCGTCGTGTTTGGAGGACAAAGAATGCTGAGTTGCATCCAAAGAACACCATACCTACTGTGAAGCATGGGGGTGGAAACATCATGCTTTGGGGCTGTTTTTCTGCAAAGGGACCAGGACGACTGATCCGTGTAAAGGAAAGAATGAATGGGGCCATGTATCGTGAGATTTTGAGTGAAAACCTCCTTCCATCAGCAAGGGCATTGAAGATGAAACGTGGCTGGGTCTTTCAGCATAACAATGATCCCAAACACCACACCCGGGCAACGAAGGAGTGGCTTCGTAAGAAGCATTTCAAGGTCCTGGAGTGGCCTAGCCAGTCTCCAGATCTCAACCCCATAGAAAATCTTTGGAGGGAGTTGAAAGTCCGTGTTGCCCAGCGACAGCCCCAAAACATCACTGCTCTAGAGGAGATCTGCATGGAGGAATGGGCCAAAATACCAGCAACAGTGTGTGAAAACCTTGTGAAGACTTACAGAAAACGTTTGACCTGTGTCATTGCCAACAAAGGGTATATAACAAAGTATTGAGAAACTTTTGTTATTGACCAAATACTTATTTTCCACCATAATTTGCAAGTAAATTCATTAAAAATCCTACAATGTGATTTTCTGGAGAAAAAAAATCTCATTTTGTCTGTCATAGTTGACGTGTACCTATGATGAAAATTACAGGCCTCTCTCATCTTTTTAAGTGGGAGAACTTGCACAATTGGTGGCTGACTAAATACTTTTTTCCCCCACTGTATACACTACTGTTCAAAACTTTGGAGTCACTTAGGAATTTCCTTGTTTTCAAAAGGAAAGAAAAGCAATTTTTCTGTCCATTAAAATAACATCAAATTGATCAGAAATACAGTGTAGACATTGTTAATGTTGTAAATGGCTATTGTAGCTGGAAATGGCTGATTTTTAATGGAATATCTACATAGGCGTACAGAGGCCCATTATCAGCAACCATCAGTCCTGTGTTCCAATGGCACGTTGTGTTTGCTAATCCAAGTTTATCATTTTAAAAGGCTAATTGATCATTAGAAAACCCTTTTGCAATTATGCTAGCACAGCTGAAAACTGTTGTGCTGATTTAAAGAAGCAATTAAACTGGCCTTCTTGAGACTAGTTGAGTATCTGGAGCATCAGCAATTGTGGGTTCGATTACAGGCTCAAAATGCCCAGAAACAAATAACTTTCTTCTGAAACTTGTCAGTCTATTCTTGTTCTGAGAAATTAAGGCTATTCCATGCAAGAAATTGCCAAGAAACTGAAGATCTCATACAACGCTGTGTACTACTCCCTTCACAGAACAGCGCAAACTGTCTCTAACCAGAATAGAAAGAGGAGTGGGAGGCCCCGGTGCACAACTGAGCAAGAGGAAAATAATTAAAATGTTCTACTCTTTCCTTTATTACTAATAAGGATAGACCAAATGGTGCAGTTTTATGCAATCTTAATATTAATATTTTTTAACATTCGTTGATTTTTCAGAAATGGTGCACGCAGATACTGTATTTGGTCTTAAATTTACGCAACGGTTATGAATGAGGCACCTGTCAGCAGAACGTTTAAATTCAACAATGTTTTATATTTTAAAAAAATCAACGTATGGTCAAAAATATTGAGATTTATAAACTTGCCGTACATACACGTTTCCTGTTATAAAACGGCGAACGAGCATTATAACTCCGCCTGAAAAACACCCGCCATTCACCTTCTATGGTGACAATAACGTCCTTATTTGCTGTACACTTTGGAAGTATTGGAATTAGGCCAAGGCAGTATTTCTAAAGGAAATAGCAAATGATGTACTTGGTCAAATGTCTTTGGAGGTGTTTGGCAGAATGTTCTCTTTTGCAGTGACATTTGCTGTATCCGACCGTTTCTGAATGGTTGTGGACCTGTAAACAGATCATAATGTTGCACTGCCTGCGAATTTCTGAAAACATTGTCTACTCGGAAAGCAGTGATAACTACAGGAGGGCTGCACTTACAGTGGTAGCCTACACACTTCAAATGCAATACATCAACTGTCGGTTCACCTGTTCAATTCTACTGTATGTTATCGACCGCGCTCCCTGTTGGATGGATATAGGCTAGGCTAGAGAAACAACTAGAAATGATAATAGTCTATCTAATAGGCCCAATCAAATGAGACTGTTGAATGGCTACTGACATGAACTCGTCATGGCCCGAAAAGGTTATGATATCGGCCTGTGTATGATGTTTATAAAGGAAATATTGTCTACTCGGGAAATTTGACATTGCTGTATTCAGACGTAGCCTACAAAACGTCAATGGAAAAAGGTGAACCGTCTGTTCTACCGTTTAAACTGTGGATCGCATAGAGGAAAATACTTCGAGTTGATCTATTTACAGCTGAGAAGTAGGTCCAGTGAAATGAAATGGGACGTAGCCTATGCTAACTTGCTGTAGGCCTATAGGCTATTTCTCGAGTATGAAACCATC